CGATCAGCTGTTCTAAAAACGTCGTTTTGCAAAGAATCGGTTCCCGAAGCAGGGAACTGAATATTGCAATGCGAAATTCCCCCATTCAGACCATTGTTTTGCAATCGTGATTGCGATTGCAAAAAGATTGTCGTAAAGCGGATTCATTGTAATGCGGGGCAATAGTAAAGCAAGGCACCACTGTATTCAACTGAAATATGACTTCCTGTAACTTGAGCCCATTGTTGCATATCCTGCACTCTGGGATGATCAACAAGACCTCCTGTCTTAATTAATGGATCTGAACTTTCTCTGAAGTTGTGGGTTATGCTTTGTAACCAAACGGACTGAAGATCCCAGAAGCCCTTGTCAGCATAGCTAGTGGTGAAGGCTTCTGGGAGTTGTAGTCCAAGAACATCTGGGAACCCAAGGTTTGGAAACAGGGTTGTATAATGATCGTGCTTGATTCTGAAAGATATTTCTTGGCCTCGGTCCTAATTGACAGGTCAGAAACACCAGCAGTGTCTGCAGCTGGAGTTCCGTACAGGTAAATACTGAACAAGAGCCTGACCTTGGAAGGGACATGAGTATTCAGGTGTATGATGCAAAACAGATCCATATAAAATATGGCCATTCAAAATTGTTGGGAGGCATTTTTGAAGCAGATTTGAAGATGACAACAATAACTTGCTTATGTCCCACAACAGCTTTGCGGATCAGCCCAGGGAATGTGCTGGAGATGAATGGGATGTGCGAGGAAGGAGGCGAATCCAGAGGGGAAGAAGACGCCCATCGGAAGAGAGGAGGCAGGAGATGAGCCGACAGAAAGCCTGACGGGTCATCTGCCAGCCTTCCGGACTGCACATGGGAAATAATACATCTGTGTTTCCCAGGCGTGGTAGAAGATACTGCCACAGGTCTAAACTTAATACGATAGATCCCAGGGAGGACCAAAATGAACTCCCCATGTCAGAGGAAAAGGTCCAGAAAAATTCATGCTCCCAGAGAAGGAAGCAGGAGAAAGTGGAATGGAATTTCCTAGTCTTGGAAAAGATGATTTGAACATACACCACAATAGCCACACAGAAGTGAGGCCTTACGCAAAGTCTCCCGAGTGTGGGAAGAACTTTAGTTACGCAAAGTCACTCCAGAGAAATCAAGGAATTAGGAATGGTGATAGACCGTATAGCTGCCCTTCCTGTGGGAAATGCTTCAATAAAAGAGAGTGTTTGATGAATCATCAGCTGCTTCACACTGGAGAGAAATGGCACGAGTGCCCTGAGTGTGAGAAAAGCTTCACCTCCAAAGAAGTACTGAAGAGGCACCAGAGGATTCACACAGGCGAGAAACCCCAGAAATGCCCTGAGTGTGGGAAATGTTTCAGTCAAAGAGGAGAGCTGAAGAGACACCGTGATTCATACTTCAGAGAAACCCTTCGAATGCTCTCAGTGTGGGAAATGCTTCAGTTGGAAAGAACCGTTACAGAACCGGAGAGAGACTGTATGAATGTTCTTACTGTCGAAAATGTTTCCGACAGAGAGAACATTTGATGAACCATCAGCAGCTTCATACGGGAGGGAAACTCCATCAATGCTCTCAGTGTGGGAAAATGTTTACTTTTAGAGAAGTGCTGAAAAGACACCAGAGAATTCAAACCAGAGAAAAACCATACAAATGTTCTCAGTGTGGGAAGTGCTTCAATCAGTGTGGTGATCTGAAGCGCCACCGAAGGATTCACACGGGAGAGAAACCGTATGAATGTCCTGACTGTGGGAAGAGCTTCAGCTGGAGAGAACACCTGAAGGATCATCAGAGGATCCACACAGGGGAGAAACCGAAGCAACCAGCATGAATTTGACACAACTTTGGGAGGTAGTAGAAGATAGGAGGGCCTGGCGTGTTCTGGTCCATGGGGTCACGAAGAGTCGGACACGACTAAACGACTAAACGAAACGAATCAGAGATGGGCACGAACCGCCAATTTGTCCCTATCCCCTCCGTGGAGGTGCCCCCTCAGAGGCAGCGCCCAGAGGAGGCGGAGCAGGGGAACCAGGGCGTTGCTTCTGACTGGGTGCCTCCCAGAGGGGGCGGGGCACTGAACTGTGGAAACCTGATTGGACTTTTTCTGAACCAGCACGAACTGTCAAGCTGGGGGTTCGTGCTGTATCTCTACCCCTAACCCAACACTCTCTTGACTGGTCTGCCACCTGGTTCTCTTGCCACAAATTCCCTCCTTTCCAACTCTATTCTTTTCATGAGTAACAAGTACTCGTCTCCACTTACAGTGTGGCTACACTAGGGGGAAAACGTATTTAAATTGGGTTTAGCATGGTATAAATCATTTTATTTTAAGGCAACAACGGTACATAAAAGTGCTGATTTTGTTTTCTTCAGGAATTGTGGCATGTTTGTTTTTATCAGAAGCAAAGTATTTTACTGGGTTGGCAGAAGGTCATTTATCTTAACTCGGAGGTCAAGTTGATGTATTTTGAATCATTTTGGCATATGTGAACTCCTCTATCAGTGCAAATTGTATCGGTTGTTTCATGCTCACTGCCTCACAGCCACTAGCAGATACTGCTTTGAGTTTTTTTTTCAATTTTAATTAACCAGTAATTTAAATTTTTTTAACATTTTCTTTCTAAGTGTGATAGCCATTCATACCCTGAATTAATTAAATTCAACCGGAGTGCAAATATCTGATTATGAATAAGTAATGGAAAAACCTATTTAGCTTTGTCAGGGTTTCTGTTTATGAGTAAATCTGTTTTGGATCAAATCATTTTAACTTTCACTCTTTCCCCCTTTAAACACCAATAAAGAAAAAGAGTGATGACTTTTTAATGTTACACAATAAAAAGAGTCCCAGTGAACTTACTGTATAAAGAGCAACCTCCATGCGTGAGTGCAGGTTTTAAAAAGACCACTCAGAGAGGAATGAACATTGATGGAAGAAGGTCCTAACAGAGCGATGCTTTATTTGGACATTTGAGTAGCCAAAACAGAGAGACTATAGTACAGTAGTACCCCCCCCATCCACGGGATCAGTATCCGCTGATTCAGTTATCTGCTGGCAGAAAATACTAAATAAAATACCTATGTACAGTACAGTAGTATCCTTAGTGTTTTAATTTCTGCAATATGGGGTTATTATTTTTCATTCTGTCATTCTTATCTGCTCAAAGGGGCTCTTGCTGTTGGATAGCTGATTACTCCTTTCCCGTGCATTAGACATTTTAAGAGATTTTTTTTTTAAAAAAAAATCTAGAATAAAAAGAGAACATGGTGCTGGCTCTTTACTTCTCCTTTGTATGTGTGTTGGGGCTGGGATGGGTGTGAACAACGATGCTGGCCACGCCTTTGCAGTTGTGACCTTTTGACGTCCACATGGTCTCCAGTCCCAACTCCTGTGCAATGACCACACTGCGGTGTCGACCAAGGACGGGCAAAGATTCAAAAGAGGAAGCCTGAGTTGCTGACAAAAGGACTTGGCTTGCACTGCGTCCTGTTTGTCCTTTTACGTTCTGTCACCAGAGACTGGGCAGCTGCACTGTTTAATTTTGTTGGACACGATCTGCTTGCTTCTTCGGATCCCACTCGCTCTCGGCCGTTTTCAGTGTGAAGCGAGGCGTTCCAGTTCATTTGTGCGAGAAGTGGGAGAAGCCAGTTCCATGAAAATGTGGTGATTTGAAAGTTTAAAATTGGCCCATTCTTGTTCTCAATATTTTAGAACTGTAGAATTGAAAATTATTATATAAACTGGAACCCCAAAAAGTATTTTTCCCTCAAGCTGTGGTGTTAACCAACCTGCCAAATGGAAGGGAGAAGTCTAGGACTAACCTCTATTTAAGAAAACTTGAACGAAGGAGAATTTATCATTTTCAATAGCAAACCATTACACTATCAAAGAGCTGTTACTACCAGTACGGTCTCCCTAATGTTCTGCTGATATCTCCTTATAATTTGAATCTGTTGCTTTCAGGTCTACCATCAAGAGCAGCAAAAGATAATTCTATTCGAACTGGAGAGCTGGAAGGGACCCTCAGGGTCATCAAGTCCAGCCCCTCTCAAGGAGGCCAAGTGGGGAATCGAACTCCCAACCTCAGATTCCATAGCCAGAGACCTAAACTCTGCAGCAGCCCTGAAAGATGGCTAACCTCTATTTAAGAAAACTAGAACGAAGGAGAATTTATCCTTTTCAGTAGCAAACCATTACCCTATCAAGGAGCTGTTACTACCAGGACGGTCTCCCTAATATACTGTTGAAAACTCCTTATAATTTGAATCTGTTGCTTTGAGGCCTACCATCAAGAGCAGCAAAAGATACTGTAATTCTATTCAAACTGGAGAGCTGGAAGGGACCCTCAAGGTCATCAAGTCCAGCCCCCATCAAGGAGTCCAAGTGAGGAATTGAACTCCAAACCTCAGATTCCATAGCCAGAGACCTAAACTCTTGAGCTATCCAGCAATTCTGGATATACTGGGACCATCTTCGATATGGGAGCCCTTCAGATATTGAAGGATATCAATCCCATTACCATCCTGACTTCCCTTCTGCTATCGAAACATCCCCAACTCATCTGTATGTTGAAGCCTTTCCTTTTGTCTTCCAATCATCCTACCTCCAAATTGTTCGGGGTGGCACATCTGGTCCTGGGAAACTACCCGATGATGACAGTCTAGGAAGATGGGGCCCTAGTTCACCTGCCGTATAAAGATGCCAGCTTTCCCGACGTATCTGTATTTTCAAAAGGAGTGGAACCTGCAAGAATAGGCAGGCAAAGTGTGAATACAAAAACAGTATCCTTGCTAATTGCCAGAAGTCAAAAAATTATTCAGGGCACAAAGTTGCAGTCAAAAGTTTGGCCGAAGGAGATGGTTTCTTAACTGGCTTAGTTCTGCGGTTCTTTCTTGGTGCAGAATTTTGAATTTCTCGTAAAATCCTTTTCTGCACAGCAGCAGTACAGAGATTCGCAGAGGAGAATGGTTTCCAGTTCTCCAGAGGGTCCAACCCTTTCCTATGAACTTGCCCTTAAGGTCTCACTCTGACCCATTTGTAGAAGAAAGAATAGAAACCTTTCATTACTTACAGTTGTAAACAGATCAACAGCAAACTAAACCTACTGACTGAACACCAACTGAGAACTGAGAAGGGGGGTAAACATGATTTTCTATCAATGCAGGAGCAAAGGATACCTTTAATAGACCTCTGTAAAAAAAAACAGAGCAAGCAAAAATATCAAGCAAACATGCAGTTAGCTTTCGGTGATCATTTATCTTCTTCAGCCTAAGCACCAAGTTCAGAAAATTAGATACTTTCATTAAGTCACAAAGGCTTTAGTTTGTGAAGCAGATCTATGTGTGTGAGAGAGTCTTGCACCGGTTTGGTAAACTTGGGGGAAAGAAAGGCGGGAAGGTGTAACGATGGCGTCGCCCAAGAGGGGGCGCCCGTGTGAATCCTGGCCGGCCTTTCTGCCCCGAGGAAGAGGAGGAGGAGGAGGAGGAAGGCGAGAGCAAGGAAGAGCCACCGCCTCCCCATCTCCAAAGCCCGGGAAGGGGCCACGTTCCCGGTTAGGCTCGGAGCCTCGGGTGGCCACCCCGACGAAGCGAAGGGGCTGAGATAGAGAAA